CACAAGCTGGTTATAAATATCACAGTTAATCATACTTTAACACAATCAAGAAGAAAACATAAGCAATACTTAACATTTTATCATACTTTAACACAATCAAAGTTAGCAAATAAAATGATTAAACAACCTAAAAGTTAATCATATTGTAATACTTTAAGTCTTTAACACAATTAACAAGACAATACACATATGGTTGCAATGCAAGTCATCACAGTCAGGGAATCACAATTTTATTAAATGGAATTGCACAAAAGTTTTAATTTGGGGTAAGAAAAAATAATTTTATTCAATTGAATAACATGAAGAACTAGAGTGTACCCTTGTAAGATATATTATGCTAAAATATATAAAGTGTTTCTTAACAATAATATTATTTTGGAATGGATTAGTGTCTTTATTAGATTTTGATAATTTTTTTTTCTTTTAGTTTTAATATTTAATAATAAATGCAATCCTTATTCTTTAGAAAATTTTATTCTTGATAATATATTGTATAATTCTTTAAGCATGTTTAATATAAAAAGTATCTTGAATGAAACAATATTATGCAAGAATAAAACCGCAAATATATTTACTAGTTTATTGTTGACTTTTTGTCATTCTAACATAATAAAATCAGTTATTATTAAAAATAATATTAAAATTTAATTATAATTAATTTAAAAAATTCAGCTTTTTAAAAAATACGAGAATTACTGATCCCTTAAAATCCAAAATTTTCCTTTTTATAAAATAGGTTAACTGACCAAAATACCCTTTTGCTGAAATTTATGTGATTATACGATATATGCTACCCTATGGTAATATCATAGACCCTAAGATCATGATTTTTTATTTTATTCATCCACGGGTCCAAATCTGGTCCAAATCTGTGCGTTCTAGCACATAATAGCTAGTAATAACAAAAGGTACACAAAAAATCACGTGTACCCACATAGTCACAAACAAAAGGTACACAAAAAATCAAATCCTACACCGATCTAGAAAAAAGAAAAATATGCATGTAAGTGGATCTTACATCCACTTACATGTTGGTATATATGACTTCTGTTCGTAAGAGCTTATATGGCCTAATGGTTGTGGACTTGTCATGGATGAAAGCTTCGAGAATAGGAGGGCCAATAGAATTTTATGCATGTCCATTGCATATTAGTACCTATATTATAGGGAAAATGAAACATATAACCTACGAACTTTCTAGGGTTTATCCTTTTAGTCCCTAAACAGTTTTTGTGGCCTTATGAGGGAACGAAGTCGTTTTTGTCAGCTCAATTACATCCTTTTGGCCAAAGTGAAGGGGTCACCCGGTTACGTCTTTTACATATTGACATTTGCTGACCAATTCTCTCTCTTTCTCTCTCTCTCTCTCTCTCTCTCTCTCTGTGTGTGTCTCTCTCTCATCCCCACCGGAAGTACTCCCAAGCTCCATGTTCATCTTTTTGGGTCACCTGACCTAAATTTTGAACCAGTCCTAACAAAACTCATAAATTGAGTTCCAAATTAACACACAATACTGATAATACACACCAACTGTGACAACCCGAAACTTCTACCTAGTACATCTAGTGAGTTAATCTAAGTTAAACTCGTTTTTGTTAACTCCGAACACCGATTAAGGGTTCATTTAAGCGTTCTAAGCTTGAGTACAACCAAGCTCGAGATTAGGAATGAGTCAGCAAATCGTATAGTGACGAAACCTAGCCATACACCCCTTTTGGAGGAGTGTGCGGTTGTATACATGGGTGTACGACCGTACACACCCCTCATGGCCACACACCCACCCCTATATAAAGGGTAGACCCCTTTCCTTTGATTCCTTTAACACCTTGGCAGCATACAACACCATTTCTCTTAAGCTTCTTCAATCAGAAACCCTCCCAAGGCTTCAAAAACGCGAGTAATCCTTCCCCTAGCTTGTTGTGCTTGAAGAACCACTTAATCGAAGCCTTGAATCATTGAGTCCCGTCATGTTCTTCACTCTTGGAAGGAATATGGCCGCACACCTTCATAAGGTTGTCCGTACACTCATAAAAAGCCCTCCAAAGTGAGAGTTTGACTTCCATATTCGAGTTGGACATGACCCTAGCTTTGCTACACCTTAGAATTCGAATTTGGACATCATCATGTAGGGTGTACGACCGCACACACCCTTGTGCGGTAGCCCACTCCTTGTGTGCGGCAGCACACTCCCGTGTGCGACCACACACACACACCGTAGGACCACAAACCCATTTCTAAGACCCTAAACTTTTACTACAACTTAGTATGGACCTAGAACACTTCATGGATGCAAGTATGGAACTTGAAAACACCTTAAAAGTACCTTCCATCGTGAGTGTATGGTCGTACACTCATTGGGCCACACACCCATGGTCATACACACCTTTAAGGTGGTCATAGACCTCCCTTATGTAATCCATTAAGGTCTTAGCACTTAGTGTAAGTAGTCCCAACTTCTTAGAGTGGTTCTCCATCACATTTAGTAGGGAAATACCTTCATTTGACTCCTTTATGTGTCATTATATGTTAATTAGGATCAAATCGTGTTCAAGGCTTGACTTGAACATCCCACATTCCGTATCAATCCTTCATTCAAATCGCCCGAGGTGAGTTCATGCCCTTACATGACATCTCTTTTTGTAATATGTTAAGCATAAAGGAAACATTTATTCTGGAAATCTAACTTCATAGCTTTCAGAAAGGTTTTTACAAAGCATTTTCCTTATCAATTCTAATAAACTATAATGGGTATAGTTTGGGATAACCCTCTAGGCAGTTTTTACCAAATCAGATTTCGTGGATGAATATGTATATATTTTCTCAGGAGTATAAAGTACAATTGTTCTAGGATAATTATTGTTTTATGTTGTTTCTAGCTCGTAAACTAGATTATACAGAATTGTGAGGCTCTACTTCAATATTGTACCCTTAGGTGTATAGGGATAAATCCTTTTATTATAAACAGGGAGAGCGTGAGATTTGTGAATAGATCTATTCGGGACTAACAATGCTACACCTTAACTGCTAGCTACAGTTAGACAGGCATGCTTGGGGTGAACAAATATCATTTAGCTTAACAAATGTTATTTAGCTTAAAAACTGAAGAACGTTGTAAAGGTCTCTCGGTCATATCAAGCATGGTTATACGACTCGCAAATAAGTATAAACTAACTTTGTTTTACGGAATCTACTCTTCATTTGTTTTATTTTGAGTAAAAAACTACTTTTATATATATACTGATAGTAATCAGGGATTTCTGAACTTACATCTCTACCTCTACGACGGATAACCTGTTTTTACGGAAAATATGAGATTTTCCCAGGATAACACTAGCATTTCTAAAACTAATGGTTTATTTTCTACTAATAGATACTCTTTCAAAACTGCTTTTCATAAGAAAATATAGGATTTCTTGAGGAACACTTTTCAAAAGGATCAAAGAAACATTTTTCATAACAACTAAATGCTTATGAACTCACCAGCTTTATGTTGATATTCTTTCAAAACTGATTGTATTTTCAGGGATTTAGTAGATAGGTGCTTCCAGGATTTTGGAGAAGTCGGCGCGTTAGAGTCACGTCTTTCCATTCTACTTTTGATATGAACAAAACTATGTATTAATCAATGTAAACCTTTTTCATATATGTATTCAATGTCTGGTTGTGTTTACTATACTTGCTATGATACAATTGTTGTGATACTACGCATGACATCCTCCGCCCCCGAACGTTTCCGTCGTTCCGGTTTAGGGGTGTGACACAAACACACACATATAGAAGTCCAACCTAGATTCTCCTCTTTCCATCTTAGTTAATAAAATACAACTCCAATCATCAATCAAAGGAAGAATCACAATTATTATCGTCATTGATTTGAGCATTTCCATCTAGATCTTCGATCAAAAGATTTTATGTTGTGGTTCGGTGGTGATTAATCAGTTGTGAGGAATGTAGGGGTAACCACTCATCTCCGGCGGCTGCAAATCGGAAGGAGAACAGGTAGCCGCAACAGTCAGCTGTTGTGTTTTGAGGGAGGCAGCCGATGGTGTCTCCGAACGGCGGTTATGGCGGCGATCGTAGCTCCGGTGCTTCCATCGATTTCTAGTGCTTTGTTTCCTTGAATCTCTCCTGCTCCTGTCGAGCAATTGGTAGCAATTAGTACCGAGAAACTCGCCAGAGCTGCCATCGCAGCTTGTTTGCTCCCTTGGATCGACAATCACTTCCTCTCCTTCGCAAATTATGTCTCGAGCAAGGCTATTCCTTCCGATTCCCTCCATCTTCAACTCGATTTCGCACCAGAGGAGTTTTCTGTTGTCAATTCGTGTTTCTTTTCCTGGTCGCATCTTTTTTCCTTAACAGCCAAAGCACGATGGTGCTTTCTTTTCACCGATTGATCAACCAAGGGACGATATCCCTTTCTCTTTTCAATCAACCAGCAAACAGTAGACAATTTGTTGCTTAGTGTTTCCTTCTTAATTACAGTGGTTTGTTCATTCGTGTTTCATTTTTTTCCTTTGATCGATCAGACAAGTGACGTCGAGGGGCATAAAAGCCCTAACTTTTTTTTTCCGGGCAACAATTATGAAATAGAGAGCACGGGGGAGAGAGAGAGGTGGGCCCAAAGTTTTGTTTGTCTCTAAACCGGCTAAACAAGTAAAGGGGACTAAAAGATCATATTTTTCCTAAAGCCACCAAAACATAACTAAAAATATAAACCTAGAAAATTCATTTTCCCTATATTATATATATTATTTCTAGCACCTATTTCCCTATATTATATATATATTATTTCTAGCACCTTATATTCATTGTCTCTATTCAATCATATCTTTAACAGAAATACCTAAACCAATTGGATAGAGCAAAACATAACATAAAGGTGGAAAAAGAGAGTATTTTCCACGTCATTCATATCGATACATCCATTACACGATGTTTTGTTTTATTTAGGCTATACCATACATGGATTTGTACTAAGCTTTTCAAATTTTATAGGGTGTTCAAGGGCGAGATTGGCTTTCCTTAAATGCCTTGGATTCTTCAGGAGACGAACAACATCTATTACATCTTCCACCGTATCCTTGACAGCATCCATGGCGGCATCCACCACCCCATCCGCTGCCACCGCCACCTCCACCTCCACCATAGTTACCTCCACCTCCACCATAGTTTCCTCCACCGCCACCATAGTTTACACCATACTTCCCTTCATCACCATTTGCTTCTTTATTTAACAAAGATGCCTTGGCTTCTTCAGGTGAGGTGCAACATCTGTTACATCTACCTCCATATCCCTGACAACATCCATGGCGGCATCCACCTCCCCATCCACTGCCACCGCCACCTCCACCTCCACCATAGTTTCCTCCTCCGCCGCCATAGTTTATACCATACTGTCCGTCATCACCCTTAGCTTCTACCTTATGCCCGTCAACAGCTTTTTTTGATTTTGCTTGATTTTCCACAAACGCCTTGGCTTCTTCTGGTGAGGTGCAACATCTGTTACATCTACCTCCATATCCTTGACAACATCCATGGCGGCATCCACCTCCCCATCCACTGCCACCGCCACCTCCACCTCCACCATAGTTTCCTCCTCCGCCGCCATAGTTTATACCATACTGTCCGTCATCACCCTTAGCTTCTACCTTATGCGCGTCAACAGCTTTTTTTGATTTTGCTTGATTTTCCGCAAACGCCTTTGCTTCTTCTGGTGAGGTGCAACATCTGTTGCAACTTCCTCCATGTCCTTGATAACAGCATCCATGATGGCATCCGCCACCCCATCCGCTGCCACCTCCACCATAGTTTCCTCCGCCGCCACCGTAGTTTTCACCATACTTTGCTCCATCTTCTTTAGCTTCTGCTTTATGCGCGTCCACAGCTTCTTTTGCTTCAAGATAAAGTTAAAAACAAAAAATATCAATATTCTGACAACTTAATTTTAATAATCAGTCACGAGAAAGGGAAGATACGGACACTGAGGCGTCGTCTCTTGCTTGGAAATATCGTCAGCAAAAGTGGATGAAAGGAGACTGATCACAATTAGTGCAAAAAGCAAATATGAGTTGGTCTTCATTTTCGCTGTGCGTTTCTATGGTTATGGAAGCCACTATTTATACTGAATTTAGGGTTTGGATATGAAACTTTTGCATGCTATGGATGGATGGATAGTTCAAAATATTGGGAGGTTGATGGTCAAACTATTATCGTGTTTTCGATTCCCACTCGGTTGTTGCAATCGAGGATTAGGTCATTAGGTGTGCCCAGGCAGGTTGTGGCATGTGTCTTTATTGACTCTGTTGAGTGACACCTGGAAGTTGAATACAGGTTTTAGTGTGGCTTTTTGCTTTTTTCTATGCTTCGTTTATCCTCATCGGCTTATATCTTTGGACCTTTGTTTTGTTTCTGCCACAAATCGGCCTGAATTCAAAGCTTACACACAGCAGAATTAAATAAAATCAGAAAATGAACAGAATTATCGATTGGTAAAATAAATTTTATATCTTGGAAAAAGAATACCTAAGGATTAGGATTTGGAGTTTTTTTTTTAGTATGGTTGATCTATATTAAAATGTTTTTTCTTAATCATTTAAGAATTTTATGATTTATTTTTTATCTACTTTTAGAAAATGTCTTTTCTTAGTCATCAAATAAAATACTTATGATTTACTTTTTTATTTATTTTTTGAAAATGTTTTTTCTTAATCATCAAATAAAATAAAAAATTTATGATTTACATTTTATCTATTTTTTTTTTCAACACACACATGTTTGCGGCCCCTTCTCAGCTACTTCAGGCAAGAAATAGCAACTTACTTTTATTAATTTCTTTATCAACAAATTCAAAAATCGTATAATTGGAAAGTATAATGCTATAAATTGAATAGATTTTTAGGAATGCTATTTGATAAGAAAGGAGCTAAAAGTAAAAAAGATGTAATCTATGAGAAAAACAAACCTGCAAATTAGACGAAGTAATCTCAGAGGTTTAGACTGTTTCACTCATCTTTTCTTTGTTGAATGTGATTTGTGAGGGAAAGATTTAAACTGTTAGAATAAGTAAATATAGAATGCTATAATTTTGTATCAGAAACTAACCTTAAGTTTATGATTCCTCGTCATCAATGTACTTCCTTTATCTTTTGGTTTGTCAGATTCATCATTCTTTAATTGCACAATTTCAATCTGAAATCAAGAGTCATTTGGTAAGATATTGTTTTAATAGTAGTAATTATGAGAAAATTAAAGTAAATGAAGAAACCTTAGCCTTCTACATCAATTTGTCAATGAATTCATCTTTGGTTTAGATAGTTGATATAGAGATCACTGTTTGAGAAAATTTAATTTGTTTGATGTAAACAAATGAATTTAGAATTGGGATTCTTACGTTTCTGAGTTGTGATTCCAATTCGTTGTATAATTATAGTATGTATTACATTGTTTGGTGTAATTACTAATTCTACCTCAAATAAAAATATATATAGTTTATTTTATGTATTTTGTTTGATGCAGCATATACTAATTATACAACAAAAGCTAATTGTTATAAAAATATAAATGACTATCTTTTAAACAAGTAAATATAAAATACTAAAGTAAAAAAGTACCCTTCATGCCGAAAATGGTGATAGTCTTATCTCCCATGAGAAGAGTCTAGGAATCCTTGACTTTGACCTCATCCTTTTTCCATGGCCATAAACGCTATCGTATTTGAAATATTGAAAACCGACATAATGTATGTATAAATACATGTCCTATAAATACAAAATATGATAAGTTATCATGCATAAAGGAAAAAATAATCAAGAAAGGCAAAGTTATTGTTTCCGTAGTGTAACTATTCGTTTGTAAGATTAATAATCTTCCAGTCATCTTCACTAGTGGTGGTGATACCTTCTCAAATTGCTAACACTTTATCATTTTTCATTTTCATTCAATTAAACAATCATTTGATTCATACATTTGTATCAAATCTATTCTTAGTCCATAACTTGCATCTTATTTCAATTTCCTAATTAACTCTAACTGATAGTCACACTCCTAAAATTTTACTTAACATAATAGAAATCATAAAATTATAATAATATATAATGATCTCTCATAAACATTTATCAGGATGCACATTCCCAACTTACAAATATCTTAATCGTCAATTTAGGCGAGAATGATTTAATTAACTACTTTCCTTATATGAATTTGAACTAAAATACCCTAATTTATAGCAATTTCGAAATTCAAAAATTCAATTTATACTTGCTGAAAATTTTGAAAGTACCTCATGCTTTTTTTTTCACAACGGGTCATCGACGATCACTGATCTGGCCATCTCCGTTCTCCGGCGGTCACAAACTATCTTAATAGGTTATTCTTTTCAAAGTTCTTGACTTTTGGTCATCTCCCAAGTCCTAACTCATCACCTCCATTCATATTCATATCATCTCGTCGGTATCCTATCATTAGATGTGACTGAAAAACACCAACCTCCAGCATTACGATGTGTATGTCGCTTCAATTGCATTTTATCTACTTTTTGGTAAAACTCTCTCTCTCTCTCTCTCTCTCTCTCTCTCTCTCTCTCTCTCTTAGGTATCACTTTAGTTCTTTGTGCTTACCAGGTTATGTGTAGAGGTAATAAATAAGTGTTTGTACTGTGTAAACGAAAAGTCTTTGTGTCAAATGATGATGTGATTCTGGATCCAGGTGCTCCATTCTCCGATGATGGTTTCCACTTCTTTCTTCCTCCTTCAAGATTACTAAAACACACTTAAATGGCTCAATAATGCTTAATAATGGATTAGGGTTTATTTGGTGATGAAGGTGTAACATCCAAAATTTCAAACAAATTTAAACTTTTAAAAACATATCAAGTTCATCAAAATATTACAACTTTGTTTTGAAAACATTGTTTATCAGAGTCTTGTCCCCAAAAGTAACATAATAGGAGGAGTTATACGATCACGCCTTGGCCTTGCCGCGATCCCCAGATGTACCTGAAACAATAAACTGAAACTGTAAGCCTGAAAGCTTAGTGAGTTACCCCAAAATACCGATACACAAATAGTTCACATAGCAGTATCAACATTAGCATATCATACCAATCAAAACAGAATAGCATTCACTAGGTCCACAGCTTTACAAGCTGGACTACCCCTGGGCCATCAGTACGAGTTTGGAATGCCTACTAGGCCCTCAGCTCGTATCTGGAATGCCATCGAGCCCTCAGTGCGGGTCTGAAATGCCTACCGGGCCCTCAGCTCGTATATGGGATGCTCTCGAGTCCTCAGTATGAGTCTGGAATGCCTATCGGGCCCTCAGCTCATATCTGGAATACTCTCGGGTCTGTTGGCTACCGTACGGAGCAGTACACCCTCAACCCACCCCACATAACATGTCGACATGTAATAGATAATCATATACATGCAGGTAATCAATCAATATCACAGGCAGTCCTACAGATCTACCCGACTAGCATATCAACTGGCATACATTACTAACTCAACTCAACATATCAATGACTATTAGGATATCAAATCCAATGGGCCGGCCTTGGTACCTTAGACCCCTTAGTATAGTGAGGATAACTCACCTTGTAGATTTCGGTTCGGTAAGAAATCACAGCTCTCCGATCACTTGTCGAAGACTCCACCACCTATTACCATAATATGATTATGCTCATAAGTCTTTATCCTCATAGAGTACTCCATAACCCAACTAGTTAACCCTGATCAAGGTCAAAGTCCTTACTCAAGGTCAACAATCCATGTTGACCTTAACTCGTGGAGTACCCCCGGCTGCTCGTCGAGTTCCTCGAAAGTTTTACCTACTCGTCGAGTCACCGACGTGACTCGTCGAGTTCCTACGATTCTCAATTGAGGCCCTAGAGCCACTCGTCGTGTTTCTCTTCTAGTAATACGTTGATACACACGCATTCCTAACTTGGAGAAACCTATCCGACTCGCTGAGTTGTTCATGCAACTCGTCGAGTCTAAGGCAACCTTCATCGGACTCGACGAGTTGTTCTACCAACTCGTCGAGCTCACGACTATATTCATCCGACTCGCCGAGTCGTTCTTGCGACTCGCCGAGTTCCTTTAGTCCTTAAGCCATACAGATCCGTTTTAAGCCATGCAACGCCTCCAAACCTTAGATCCAAGCTTCCAGGGCATGCCTTTCACGTAAAGTTGCAAACTTTACGTGTATGCATGGCTAAAAAGGTCGTTAATATCCAAAACTAAGCTCTTAATGGATGCACAAGGAAGGCCTCACTCACGTCCAAGACAGGAACTTTATGGATCTAGAACTCAGGAATGGTCCAGATCTGAAGTTACAACTTCAGATCTAGCTTATGTTTTGCAATATCACCTTACTTACACCTCAAAAACCCTAGATTTCCACTATATGAGATCTAGAAGGGTAAACGGATAAAGGTGTCGACTTGGTACCTTCTATGAGTGCTAGCTGACGTAGATTTCGGGCTCCACTACTCCCTTGCTTCTAGTCCTTTGCTTCTCCAAGTTCTTCCTTCCACAAGTTCTCCTTTCAAGCTTTCGAGGCACTAATAGCACAATACTCGGTTAGGGTTTTCCTTTGAGTCCTATCTGACTGTAAGGAGGCCAAATGGGGCTTAAGCCTCCTTAAATAGAGTGTAGAACCCGGGACTTAGGGTTTCTTTTGCCAACTCCTACTCGCCGAGTCCCACTCGTGGACTCGCTGAGTCAGTCACTTAAGTTGCAATTCAATCTCGCTGCTACTAGACGAGTAGGGCAACCAACTCGTCGAGTAGGGCCAAACCAAGAAACTACAATTGGACAATACCTGAGAATCGGGGCATTACAACTCTCCCCCACTTGGACTAGACTAGACTTCGTCCTCGTAGTCCGCTGGGATGAACAATTCCGGTTAGTGCTCGCGCATCTCCGCCTCCGGCTCCCATGTCCACTTGGATCCCTTACGATGTTCCCATTGTACCTTTACCAAAGGTATCCCCTTGTTCCGCATAATCTTCGTCTTTGTTTCCAAAATGGTCACAGGCCTTTCCACATAGTTCAGGTGCTCGTCGATCTGAATATCATCCAA